AAATGTCTCCGGGGCCTGTAAGCCCTAAGTTTTAGGCTTCAGTCTGGGAACCGTTTTAGGGCCTGTAGGGCCTGAACTCGGTTGTCAGGCTGAAACGTCTCCGGGGCCTGTAAGCCCTAAGTTTTAGGCTTTTAGGCTGACTGTCTGGGACGGGCCCTGTAGGGCCCGTGTGGCTACGCAGTATGCCACAACAAAGCAGCAAAGCATGAGTGCTCTACTCCCGGTGGGTTGGCATGGTGACTGTGACCCAGTGCTTCGCCAGGGCCCTTCAGAAAGCACCGCCCTCTCCTTCCAGATGCTCCACGTGAACAATGCCGACTCTCAAGGTCGAGCGCACACGACACCTCACATGAGAGGACTCTCAAGAAGGAACTCACAACATCACGGTAAGAAGTGATGAAGAGGGTAGATAAGGTTAAGAGCACCTTACCTCATTATAGCTGCCCCCAACCACAGATATTCTCACCAGATGACCTGATGGCGATTGCGATGACCAGTCACTGCATCGGCACAACCAACACTATCTCGCCGTTCCGCCTCAGCATCAATCAACCACCAGATAGTTCTCATCAGACTGCGAACGCCCAATATACACATCGTAGCCTTCCTGGCGATTCCCCTCTTCTCCTGGGTCGCCACACCTTGTCTTTGCCCTCCTCACTAAACACCACCTACGGCCTCACTCACCAAGCAGACCGCAAGTATGTACCGCGTAGGCATAAGACAAGCGCCAGATGAGCGCAACGTATCACAGCTCCGATACGAAATTGCAAGGAAGATGAGCCATAGCGAACTTCAGCAATCAAACAGCATCATACACGTTAGACCAGATAGTCGTGACCTCGAACCAAGAGCAGAATTGCATCAGGAGTTTCAGCAAATAAGAGCACACCAAAAGCTCATAATTGTCAATGCTGATGAATATTCTCATCATCATCATCAACGAAGAACCAATGTTGATATCCTATCTGGCGCTCGGCGCCCAGACTACAGATGGCAGATCCTATCTAGCCTAGACTACAATGCCGAAGATGACGACAACAGCTCTCCCGAAGTAGGAGCAGATAACGACCAATGTCGCACGCTTCCAGCACCAGGTATGTCTCTCGCATCACTCACAACCTCGTTCCCCAACACACAGACGCGACATGCACCGAAGGACCACCCTGCGCCTCACCCAGCTCCCAGCAGCACAGCTCGGCTATGGCTGCCTGCTCCTTCCAGCTCGCCCTTGAGCGCGTGAGCGCTAGCCAGCTTCAGCGCTGCAGCGCTTGCGCAGCATGCAGCCAGCACGCGAATGTCCAATTCGGAGGCAGGCCCTTTGCTATATGGAAGTGGCCTGCCTGCGTTCTGTCCCAGACTGCGCTGGGCTTTTCCCAAGAAGCTTCCGGTGGGCCCCGGTAGGCTGATGCCCAGTTCGAAACAAATCACGCCCAGGGCCTGAGGTGGTTGCTTGCACCCAACTGCCTTAGGCCTGTGTTTCGCCCACATCCCGTATCCAGCCCAGGGCCTGCCTTTGATACATGTAAACAGGCGGCCCAGGGCCTGGGTTCTTTCAACCAACTGGCGCTGCGCAACTGCATGAATTTCGTTAGTTGCGTGGTGGCCGAAATAGGGGCCCTCAGGTCCTCGTCGAGCCTGCCTTCACTTAGGGCGGCCGGCGTGCTGCTTGTCAGGGCCTGAAAGGGGCTTATCGAGGCTGTGGCCTCGCAGTACCATTCAGCTGCATGGGATGTGTTTGTTGTGATGTGTTGGCCATCGGGTATTGATCTTGGTTGGCGGGATGCTGTTGTCTGGATGGTGTCTTCACAGATGTCTGCGCTTTCACGGGAAGAACAGATGTCTCTCTCCAATCATTCAGGAGAAATGCAAGAAGAAGAAGAAGAAGTGTTTGCAGCCAACGGAGAAATTATGGATAATGGGAGAGAGGAGAATGAGGCGAGCAAGTACATGGAGGTAACTCAAGAAGTTGTCAAGGTATGTATATACATGGATATGGGGCCACATTGCCAATTGCGAAAATGGCAAATGCATCTGACAATGCTCACTTGCAAGTTTTACTTGCCAATTCCACATTTGGCAAGTAGTGCGGTTGAGGCCTGTGCGCTTTCTCTCTCTCTCACTTTCTCTCTACCTGACCATCAGTACCCAAGAAGTCGTCAACGTATGTATATACATGGATACGGGGCCACATTCAAGCACTTGCCAACTACGGAAATGGCAAATGCATCTGACAATGCTAACCTGCAAGTTGCACTTGCCAATTCCACATTTGGCGAGTAGTGCGGACGAGGCGTGCTCTCTCTCTCTCTCTCTCTCTCTCTCTCTCTCTCTCTCTCTCTCTCTCTCTCTCTCTCTCTCTCTCTCTCTTTTGACGTGACCATCAGTACTTCTAGCTATGGTCACTCTTAAGGTATGCTGCTGGAAACATAATTGGACCAGCTCTATGGCAAGATTGCCTGGCAGCACAGGAAGTTGCAAAATCAACTCACTAGGAATCAAACCTGTGTCCTCCGGCACAACCGGTCTAAAATTGGAACAGTACAAAGAATATTAACATGGCTTCTGTGCGAGGATGGGACACATAAATCGAGAAAGGGTTTGCTCTTTGTGCTATGGATGCCTTTTCTTTCTGTCTTTGTTGCTCTGCATGCTCTGTGCTCGGTCATGGTTTTCTTTTTCAGACGTCAGTTGCAAGCGATATGAGCGAGAGCAATAGACAGAAATCCAAATTGCAAAAGTACACTGAAGTACAGATAGTCATGTACCAAGCAGAGAGCACCATGCACCAAGATACCATCCAAATAAGAGCAAAACAATGAACTCAATGTCAATGCCAACGCTCTCTGGCCACACCAACATAGTATCCAATGTTGCTCCTACTGAGTGGCGCCTAGCGCCCATCCTACAGTACTCAGCCTATCTATCCTATCTACGTTCATACAACAGGAACACATCGAAGTTGACGACCAATGTACGTGACGTCAACGCCAATGCAGACTGCCAACATGCACCAGGTGCGTGTCTCACATCTCTCCTCATCACCCCCCGTCTACCCCTCTGTGTGCTCTCAGTCACCTGAAGATTACCATGGCCATCACCTGCATGTGCGCAGTGCAGCCCGGCTATGGCCGCCATGCACCAGCTGTCATCGCAGCTCCCTCTCACCTCCAAGCGCATGGTGCGGCCCAGCCTGCCAGCGCTAACGCAGCGCTCATGCGACAACACAGCAGCGTGGCCGCAATGTCTTGGCAGGCCAGATTGTCTTTGGCCGGAGTGCGCACTTTCCCTTATGGAAAGTGCGCCCTGCTTGGCTGTGCCCTGGGCCTGGCTGGGTGAGTTTACAGTAACTTCCAGTTGGGCCTCAGCGTTTGCGCCCAGGCCCAGTTTCAGATACTGGCCTGGGCCCCGTGCAGTTAGGCACGTGCAGGTAGCCCATGATGCTCCAAGTGCTCGGTGTGATCTCATTGGCTTGTGGCATGTTTGTGAGGCCGGAGCTGCTTTCTCATTGGTCCGCAATGTTGGAGGGCGTGGTGTCCCGGCCCTCCGCTGCGTACCAGGCGCCTGCACGTGTACCTTGTTGCGTACCCGGTACCTGCTTACGTACCGTGCTATGTTCCAGTGACCTGCTTATAAACCCACTTGGTTCACCAAGCTTTTAGCGTATGGATGTTGGCGACACACTGGGCGCACATAGGTTTTTCTCTGCTGTGGAGCGGTCCGGTCGGCGCTTGCCCTGGCAAAAGGGGTGGGTGTGCCACTGGACTTTCCATTGGTCCACGCAGATTCGGCGCCCTGCTGTACATCAGAGCACAACCGGCCTGTGGCCGTGGTAGCCGGGCTCGCCCAGGGACATGGAAGTGGAGGGACCGGCGCAGTCTTTTCTACTATGCACCGAGTACCCTCTAGCCGAGTTATGGGATGTGTGCAGTGAGCTACAGTCATTGTCAGGGTGGGAAGGAACTGAAAAAAGAAAAGGGAAGAAATAAAAATGGGATCTCTTGTCAAGTCTGCACCCTTTTCAAACCGTCACTTCCATATGAATTATTTAGTGGCGTCTTGTTTCCTTCTTTTCTTACTATCATTAATACTATTATCGTTATTATTACAAGTGGACCCGTCGCAGCGACGCTGCGGCCGAGGAGAGGGCTGAGCGGGGGGGCGGGACTGGTGTTGCCACATTCCCGGTCCGATTTTTTTTTTTTTCCCCTCTGGGCAAAGCTCTCTCTGTTTCTCTCTCTTTCTTTGTTTCTCAGACAGGCAGACATATATACACACACAAACACACATATACACAGAGACACAAATGTGGGAATGCGGAAAATGAGAAGGAATCTTTCGATGTCGTGACATCCCAAAAAAAGAGTTTTGTTTCTCTCTGTCGCTGTCCGTCTCTCTCTCTCTACTCTTTGTCTCTCTCTCTCTGTGTCCGTCTGCCTCGCTTCCCTTCTTTCTCTCTGTTTCTCTCTCATGGAGCCGGAGGAGCATGCGACGGAGGAGGATGTGTTCGCGCTCTTGTCTGCGGAGTCACTTGTTGGAAATCGCCGGGAATGAGAAGCATGTCGCCACGCTGGAGAATTTGTCGTAACATGTTTTGAAACGATTCTTGCTCAGAGGCAGCGAGTAGCCGAGCCTCAGGGTCGACGATGTATGTGACTCTTGTCATTGGAGTATGTGCTGAAGTGAGTGAAAACAAAAAGAAAACAGCGCGTAGAAAGAGAAGTCAGAATTCTCTCTCACAGAAAGCGAAACATTTGGAGGAAATGACATGCTGCCGATGCCGGATTGGAGAAGGAGAAGAGCGAAACATATTAAGAGGATAAGGACATAAGCATAACAACTGTTTTTTCAGGTCTCTCTTTCTCGTCAGCTCTCCCTGTGACTCTGTTTTGTCTTCCCCTCTGTCACTCGCTCACAGTTTTTGCTGCTCATAGATCTGCTGTCTCTCTATGTCAGGTGATCTCGTTCTCGTTGTCTCCTTGCCACCCGCTTGCTTTGTCTCTCCCTCTGTCTTCCCCTTGCAGATTTTGTTGCTCATAGATGCGGTCGGCGGAGGCGGCAATCTGGCAGGCTTGCAGGTGTGAGCTCGCAATCCGTTTTTCCGTTGGAGGGTCGAGTGTTAGCATGAAGCCTCGTGGAATTGCGGTCGGTGAGTGCGTCGAAGCCGTAGAGGGATCAGCGAGGCAGCGCAGGAGCAAGGGCCTGGAGTTGTGTCACAGCGCGGTGGACAATGCCGGCCCGGAAGGTAGAGAAAGGTGGGAGCGGTAGTTGCATATGATCGTGGTGAAGAAAAATGAGGCTGTCGAGATACTCCCAGGTGCGTGGTGGGTGAGGGATGTTATAGATGGCGAAGGTGTGACGGGCGGCGAGGAGATCATGGATGACGGTTGTTGCACGTGTGATGCCCCAGGGCTCGAGCGGGAGCCATCAGGGCGGACCGGGCTCGTGGACAATGTGAGGGCGGAGGAACGGTGGCTGCGGTAGTGGCGCAAAACGAATGAAGGAATGTCTATGGTGGGCAGTGGTGATGCGTTCGTATTGATACTGTGGGCGCGGCGTGCAATAGTGCAGGGTCATCTTTCCCAGTGCAAGGAGCCATGCAGAGTAATCTTGTCCTTCAGGTGTGTTGACCTGGGTCAGCACACGCATGTTTTCGGAAAGGCGCATCGTTTGGAATTGTGGCCAAAGAGATGACGATTTTATGCAGGCGTCGACGGTTTGTGCGCGTGTTCCCTTCGTAATGACAGACAGTATTTGGCGGAAGTCGCCCGCGAGGACAACAATTTTGCCACCGAAAATCAAAGTTGAGGAGCAAATGTCACGGAGGGTACGGTCCAGCGCTTCGATGTGGAATTTGTGTATCATCGGCGCCTCGTCCTAAAGGATAATTGTTGTCATGCGTATTAGTTGCGCCAGGGCAGACTGTTTTGGAATATCAAGTGTGGAGGTTGCAGTCGGTGCAAGAAGTGCCTTGAAGTGTGAGTGGAATGTTCGTCCGCCGTGCAATAGTGTTGCGGCGATTCCACTTGAAGTTACAGCAAGCGCGACGCGATCTTGATTTCGAACATATGCGAGAATGGTATTGAAACAAAATGTTTTCCCGGCTCCTGCGGGGGCGTCGATGAAAAGGCATAATGGTTTGTTATTGTCAGCCGCGGTTGGGACACGCGTGAAAATAGCGTGTTGGGACGGGCGCAGGAGCGGCAAGTTTGTGTCCAATGTGTTTTGTAGCGTTTGTTTGTTATAGGAGGTTTCATCTTCGATAATTTGCGGAATGTTGTGGTGACGGGGTCTTTCGGCCAAAGCGTTTGCAGCATTTTGGCCGTCGATGTGTGGGCGTATTAGGCCAACGTCTTCGAGTTGTTTGCCCTCTTTTTGTAGGCGATTCTCAATATCGAGTAGCAACATGGTTCTGATGAGAGGGAGCGACACATTTGCATCACGAAGATTCCTTTGGAAATCAACAATCATTTGCTGCCAGTTTTTTTCGAATAATTTGGCAGGATTAGCTGGCGCGCAGTGCAAAAGAATGTGGACCAATAGATCGCGAACCATTGCAGAGGATGCGGTGAAGATTGCATCTTCTAAGACAACATCGAATTGAGTATTATCGTTGAGCAGGCCCAACGCATGACAGGTCGATTGAAAGGTCGGGCGAATCTCGTTATCGACAATACGCGCAGTGCAAAAGAATGTGGACCAATAGATAGCGAACCATTGCAAAGGATGCGGTGAAGATTGCGTCTTCTAAGACAGCATCGAATTGAGTATTATCGTTGAGCAAGCCCAACGCATGACAGGTCGATTGGAAGGTCGGGTGAATCTCGTTATCGACAATACGCAGATTCTCAAACGATGTCGCTCCAGGAGAGTGGGGGGATAAAAGAAGCATTCGGAGATAAGAAGTGTCACCTGTGTTTGGGTGAATAGTGTGCATTCGTCCGATTGTGTTGTTTCTGTGGTGTAGTCGGACCCAT